TTCAACGCTGACGTCGGCAATGACAGTGAGACCTGAAGGGGCATGGTTGGGAGGAACAGCCCCACTGATCTGAACCAGAGTGGTGTTTTGTAATTGGACTTCTGTGCTTGTCATGGATTGTCCATAACGAACATTATGTTCAAACATAAGGGTGTATGTATGTACTCTTGGCACCAGAACACCCTCGGCCACAGTTCAATGATCAACTTTGTTGTCATCTTGTCTGATCCAAGTGGGTTGTGGCTGGGTGGTCGCTGAGGCAAAAACTCTGATATGGGAGGAGTTCGGAGAGGCCATGGAAAAAAGACTTCCATACAGCTTCGAGGTGATTCTGGTCCACCATCCGGCATCGGGGGTGAGTTCCCCACCAACATAGTTTATGGTGGGGATGGTGTGCTGCTGACCTCAACCTGGGACATGGTCACCCAGGTGTTTAAAAGCTCCTTGGTGGCAAGGCGTCGTGAGTGGATGAGATTTGCCTGGAGTTCCTTAAGGCTCTGGATGTTGTGATGTTGCGTTGGTTGAAGCGACTCTACAATATCGCATGGACATCGGGGGCAGTTCCCCTGGATTGGCAGACTGGGGTGGAGGTCCCCTTTTTTAAAAAGAGAGACCATTGAGTCTGTTCCAACTGTAAGAGGATCACACATCTAAGCCTCCCTGGTAAGGTCTATTCAGGGGTCCTGGAGAGGTAGGTCCGTCGGATAGTCAAATCTCAGTTTCAGGAAGAGCAATGTGGTTTTCATCGTGGTTGTGAAACACTGGACCAGCTCTACACTCTCAGCAGGGTCCTGGAGTGTGCATGGGAGTTTGCTCAACCAGTCTACATGTTTTTTGTGGACTTGGAGAAGGCGTTCGACCGTGTCCCTCGGGGAGTCCTCTGGGAGGAACTCCGGGAGTATGAGGTACCAGGCCTGTCGATACAGGCTGTTAGGTCCCTGTATGACCAGTGCCAGAGCTTGGTCTGCATTGCTGGTAGTAAGTTGAGCTCATTTTCAGTGAGAGTTGGACTCCGCCAAGGTTGCCCTTTGTCAACAATTCTGTTCATAACTTTTATGGACAGAATTTCTATGCACAGCCAAAGTGTTGAGAGGATCTGTTTTGATGGCCTTAGGATCACATCTCTGCTTTTTGGGTATGATGTATTCCTATTGGCTTCATCAGATCATGAGCTTCAGGTCTCACTGGAGCGGTTCGCAGCCGAGTGTGAAGCAGCCGGGATGAGAATCAGTGCCTCCAAATCTAAGACCATGGTCTTGAGCCGAAAAGGGTAGAGTGCCTTCTCCGGGTCGGGGAGGAGGTCCTGCCCCAAGTGGAGGAGTTTAAGTATCTCAGGGTCTTGTTCACAAATGAGGGAAGAAAGGACTGGGAGATTGATAGGTGTTTTGGTGCTGTATCTGCAGTGATGCGTGTGCTGTACCTGTCTGTCGTGGTGAAGCGAGAGCTGAGCCACAAGGCAAAACTCTTGCTTGCACCTCACCGGTCCGTTCCTACCCTCATCTATGTTGGGCGGCTGTGGTGGAGTGGTTAGGGGAGTCATCCTGGAACCAGATGGTTGCCGGTTCGATCCCCCATCCAGCCGTTTCAGTCATTGTGTCCTTGAGCAAGATACTTCAACCCACCTTGCCTGCTGATGGTAGTCAGAGGGTCTGGTGGCGCTGGTGCATGGCAGCCTCACCTCTGTCAGTGCGCCCCAGGGCAGCTGTGGCTACAATGTAGCTTACTGCCATCAGTGTGTGAATGCGTGTGAATGGGTGGATGTCTGAAGTGTAAAGTGCTTTGGGGTCCACGTGGACTTGATAAGGCGCTAAATAAGTTCAAGCCATTTACCATTTACCTTTTATGTTCACGGGCTTTGGGTAGTGACCGAAAGAACGAGATCGCGGATACAAGCGTCCAAAATGAGTTTCCTTCGCAGGGTGTCTGGGCTCTCCCTTAGAGATAGGGTGAGAAGCTCAGTCATCCAGGAGGCACTCAGAGTAGAGCCACTGCTCCTCCACGTCAAGAGGAGCCAGTTAAGGTGGCTTGGGCAACTGGTTAGAATGCCTCCTGGATGCCTCCCTGGTGAGGTGTTCCGGGCATGTCCCACTGAGAAGAGGCCCAGAGGAAGGACACGCTGGAGGGACTATGTTTCACAGCTGGCCTGGGAACACCTTGGGATTCCCCCAGAGGAGCTGGCCCAAGTGGCTAGGGAGAGGGAAATTTGGGTCACTCTGCTTAGGCTGCTGCTCCTGAGACCCAACCCTGGATAAGAGTAAGAAAAGAGACGGACAGACAATGACGCCTGACTCATCAGCTACTGTATTTTCAGCTTTTAAGAATAATTCTTTTGCAACCTGGAGCTGTGGCCACTCTGGGAGCACGACCATATGAACTTGTGCTTGAAGTTGTAAAATATTTCAAGGCTTATATTGGATGGCTGTGCCAGGTGAGCCCTCAGTAACAGCAGCTTAACGCGCACACACTCATGTGACAAATTTTTACATTCAACTACTTATTTAGAAAATGTTCTCATTCATGTTAGATTTAATTCCTTTTTCTGAATTTAGAAATAATTTCTGATCATGCATGGGTCACAAAAATATGTCCATCACACACTTTGGACATAAATTGCATCTATTTACCATGTGTAAATGGAGGCGTGTCAGGGGAGGTGYTGTGTGCTCAGTTCAACATTGATTGTGATGTACAAATGAAATGTGCGTGGATTCCAGAGTACGCATTGTTTGATACATCTGGATTTATTTGTGTCTACGCTGTTTTCTTGATTTGACCGTATGCCATGTTTCAGTAAGAAATCCACACAAGTCTTTGCACGAGGCTCCAGATGATTCTGTCATGGCCCATATGGGCATTGACATTAATATCATGAGATAGATATTTTTTCAATCAGGGTTTTGAGTTATTAGGCTGATCCCTACCTGGACAACAGAGCCCCCCAGGATCATGTGGGTGCTTAAACCCCTCCATCATGTTGAGGTGGTGATTCTGTGGAATGTTCTTGGAATGTGGCATTCAGTCATAATGAGTGGATGGAAACTTCTGAATGCAACTACTGTATATTGTATACAAACAGTTAAACCCACAACACAAGATAAAGCCCAGTATGTAAACCAAAACATTACTGAAAGAGAATGTTAATATACAGTCAATTTTTACCTCCACATTTTTCAAATCGAATTAAACCAGCAGCATTTCTGTGTCAGATAAAATGATAACTTGATGTTGTCATGATGGATAAATGTGCAAAATATCTTATTTCTGCCTGTTATCAAGAAAACAGATCAAAAACGACTGTTTAGAAAAGACTCAGTAAAAACTGATGTGAAATATTTAACTAAAGATGAATCCTGGGTACTTTATTATTCAAACCAATGTTGTCTGACTGAGCAGCCACAGATGTATAATTTAGTAAAATGTGTGGGCAAAACAGGCACAGCTTCGAATTATTATAATTTTATAAATTATTATAGCATTGATTAGGAGTTCTTACAGTACAATAAATTGAAAATTGTTTGGTGTAAGTAAACTGGTTATATGACAGCTGATCCCTCTCCAACAAACACTAAAATACAGCTAAAAACTTGTGAGAACTTTTTATTCAATGAGTTTCAGTGAACTTTCATGACCTATTTTGTGCAGACTGATCAACTGTTGGCAGACCAAGCTATTGTTCAAGTAAATAAAAATCATACAACTTTTGAGGAAAAGAAAACAGCTAAACGACCTCAGTCTGTGTGACATTCAAATGAAGCACATTGATCATTAACAACCACAGCATTTAAATAAACAAACAAGTAAGTAAACAAACAAACAAACAAACAAAC